TCAGGTGGTTATTAGAGAACATTAGTGAGCAAACGAACGAACAGCAAGGAAGACAACAGGCAGGTCTCATCTAGAATACTTACGAAAGGCTCTATGTATGTGAATAACTACTTGAGAATTTACTTTTAAGCTTTTCAAAGCCGATACCAGTATGACCAGTTTACTGTTTCCAGTTGCCTCAGCATTTTTTCACTGTGTCAGCAAAGTTAAAAACAAAGCTTGTTTTCTAGTTAGCTGTACCTCCTGATTCCCACTTATCAGCACAAATCTCAACAAAAGCCCACCTTTTAACCTGTTTGTATTTCAATCAGGTGGAAACAGTAGCCGCCTCTTTCTGATTCAGTCGTGCACCCAGAAACGACAAGATTAAAGAGGAGAGACGGAGACCTTCCTCTGATAGCACTGTGCCATTCCCTTTTCTCTGTCCTTTGTCCAAATAAAACTAAACTTTGTATGATTAAATAAAAAAAATGAGTAAATTGGTTGACAGTAAGTAACTTCCAAACACTTTATTTTGTTTCACTCTGCAGAATTGTGTTACATTCATGTAGAAAATGGTGTCTACACATATAAGCAATTGTAAGTCGGATAAATATATGTGGCCTTTAAATAGCTGACTTCCTCCCACAATCTATAAACATGACTGTTAATTGTGGTAAATTGAACTATTTAAATCACCTTTAATTGTGCGTGCGTGCGTGCGTGCGTGCGTGTGTGTGTGTGTGTGTGGGGTTGTTTGTCCTGTGTGTCACCGTGTTGCTCTGTAACCTGCATCTCCTCCAATGCCGGCTAGAAATATGCACCAGCCCGCCGCGACCCTGCAAGGTGAAGTTGATACAGATAATGGATTTAGGGATAAACATATAATTAAGTGTTAGAATAGTCACATGATTCAAACATTAACTAATAATGGGAAAGTTTACATTTATTACAATTTTGAGTTATTTAATTTACTGCAGACATTTTTGATACATCTGTTACGATTTTATTAAAATTAGCAGATGTATAAATATTTTAGAAATCATTTATTTACTTTGATTCTGTCAATTTTAAACCCTATAATATTGAACAAGGTATTGAACATGTTTGGCTGATGGGAATAAAGGTAAATCTTTTGTTGATTTAAAAAAAAAAGTCTGCACAAAGCTGAAGAAATTCCCCTATGAGAAACACAGTGCAATTCAGCAGAGACATAAACTGGTCCACAGAAAACCATAAAATTTAATCAGCTGTTGAACTGTAAGACCACACTGAAGTGTGAAAATTTCAATGATTACGTTGGCTTTGAACTTAGTTTGACATAAAGAAAGTTTTTATTGCAAATATTGTTCCTTTCAAAAATATTTATTGCAGTTATTTTTGAACTTTTTCACATTTTAGGTGTTTTAGGAAGATTTTGTGTAATAAACCAACACAAAGTAGTGCTTAATT